GAGGATCTCCTCAGGCTCATGAAGTTTATCTAAACTTAATAAATGAATAAATAATTAGTCTTAAAGAGCCGTTCGCAGGATGTTGTGCGGAAAATATGTCTGATTTGTTTTTTTTTTTTTTTTGTTTTGTTTTGTTTTCAAGTCTGATATTTAATTATGTAATTATTCTAGGTGATGAAAGTAATTATCAATCGAAAGCTGACCGGACCCGGACACTTCGTCGGTCACAGTGGAGCTCCTGCGATCAGCTGTTCTTTCAAAGCAGCGGCGGGACTGTTGTATCCGCTCGAACGAGGTTTCATCTACGTCCACAAACCGCCGATACATATTCGTTTTGAGGAAATAGCTTCGGTGAATTTTGCGCGCGGGGGCGGTTCGACCAGATCCTTCGATTTCGAGGTCGAGCTTACGAGCGGCGTGATGCACACTTTCAGCAGCATCGAGAAAGAAGAGTACAACAAACTGTTCGACTTCATGACGGCGAAGAAACTTCGTGTGAAAAATCGGGGCAAGGCCGACAAGTTGAATTACAACGACGACTTCAGCGACAGCGATCAGGAAGACGAGCCGGATGCTTACTTGGCGCGTGTCAAGGCGGAGGCGCAAGAGCGCGACCTCGATGACAATCAAGATTCTGAGGACGCGTCGACCGATGAGGATTTCAAACCGAATCAGGAGGAAAGTGACGTTGCCGAGGAATACGACAGCTATCCGAATACCACCGACAGCGACGAGGGTTCGGACGCTTCCGCGGCCAGTCACAAGAAAGAGAAGAAAGAGAAGAAGGAAAAGAAGTCCAAGTCGGCGAAAACGATTTCGGAGAAACCGCGAAGATCGAGAAAACCGAAGAAGGAGAGAGACGCGAACAAGCCGAAGAGGCCGCCGACGGCGTTCATGCTTTGGCTAAACGGCGCGCGTGAGAAAATTAAAGCGGACAATCCCGGAATTGCGGTTACGGAAATCGCGAAGAAAGGTGGCGAGATGTGGCGCGAGCTCAAAGACAAGTCCGAGTGGGAAGCGAAAGCTGCCAGAGCTAAAAAAGAATACGCGGCGTCGATGAAGGAATACGAGGCGAGCGGAGCCAGTAAATCCATCAAAGAAAAGAAGGATAAAACGGAGAAGGAGAAAACGGAGAAGAAGAAAGACACGACGAAGAGCTCGCCCGGATCTAAGGGAATGTCTGGCACATCTTTCAAGAGCAAGGAGTACATCAGCGACGACGACAGCAGCAGCGACGAGAGCAGCAAAAAATCCGGAAAGAAACGTTCGGACGCGGACGAGAGCGATGATGAGAAGAAGAAGAAACGACCCGCCGAAGACGGCGGGAAGAAACCGGCGAAGAAAGAGAAACGAGATCAATCGGATGCGGAGAGCGACGCTGAAGAACCCGTGGAGAGCACACCTTCCTCATCCGATGCGGAATAACTTTTGTACATTTTGCTTGTTTGTATCAAGGTCCTTCCACAACGAGATGTTTGGTAATCAATCAGAAGTCGGAAGCAGAGAAATTGGACCAATCGCAGCCAAATCGCAGAATAATCGATTGGTCAATTTCTTGCTTCTGACTTCTGACTTATTGCAGAAGGGCCTTCATCAGTATTGCTTACAACACTCTTTATATCATAAGGAAATATCACAAAAATTTACGTCACCTCTTGTAATTTAAGTTATATTATTGAGATCCGAATGAAACGATTTTACGTAGTCACACACGTGTCCTTTTTTTGTAAAGGAAATTTTTTTATTCTTTTTAACATAAAAAAGACCACCACCTTTGGTTGTTCCACCTTCGGATGAAAGTATCGGGTGATCTGTCTAATGCAGAGCCTTCCAACTCGTTTGCGCCATAAGATTTCTATGCGGTCACGTGATCAGTTGGAAGGCTCTGATCTAACGGTTAGAACTCTGATTTACGTTGTTGTTTCAATAAAATTATTTATTTATCCGGTAAATGAAACTAGAAACCAAAAGATAATATAATATTATCTTTTATTAATTAATAAGATGTAATATTACACGGCACTCTCGGTATTGTGTAGGTCGTGTCTAACGGGTGAATATGTAGAAATAGAAGAACAGTGGTTGTTCGCGCTGGTAAGGTTCCTATGGATCCTATGGATAAACCCGTCGAGTAAGCTGGAGATTTATCGGGAAGGTGGAACGATCGCGGCCCTACATGTTTTTTTTTTTTTTTTTTTTACTGTACAGATTATTTATAATTTTCACATTCATTCAAACGGTAATTTGAAGTTATAGATTTTGTTCCACAATGCCTCTGTGACAAAACTTTGATATAAACTAATAAAAACTTTTATAAACAAAAATGTATAAATTTGTTGTGACAATCAAGACATGATCGCGATTAAAATTACATCGGTAAAAATAAACAGATAGGAGAAATTAAATCTAGATTAATATTATTCGTCATTTCAGAATAAAAGGTGGGAATGATCGAGGTGGTTTTAACGTTTGCATCGTTAACAAATAAAGAATTCCAGCAAACACAGATATATAACAGCAACATTGTCGTGATAAAACAAATGTAACATGTAATATAACATGGTCGTTGCGTGTAACATCCATGTTAGTTGTAATTTCCTACTTGTCGTATATTGCAGTTATATATAATATGAATATAACATGTAAGCAGAATGTAATATAATTGTTATATAGTTGCAGAAATGTTATATAAAAGTTATAAATGTCATTACCAGCTAATATAACAAGCAATATAATAGATATGTAATATAACATA